ATGTGATTCTTGTCACACACACACATGCAGTGCAGCAGAAGCTGGTCCTAACCTCTGAGCCTCCCATGCAGCGTCACATACCTGTTAGCCACTCAAGCTCGACACTGACAGTCTCCTTCAGTCACTACAGGAGCCTCACCTCCGACTGTAGACCATCTGATCTAAGAAATCCTGTAAGATCAACTTGTAAAAAACAAATATATATATGTGTATACACACTCATCCAGTATAGAGTATAGTATAAATATTTATATACATGTCTAAATATAATATATATAGACATTATAGAGAGAGATATTGTTGCATTTCTTCTTTCTTTTTTAAAAGATATATTTTTGTTTTCATTGTCCAACTTTAAATTCCATTTGGGCCAAAAAGTTACTTTTGGCTCTAACAGTAAATAAACAAATTTCTAGGATTAATTTTAAACCCTGGCATAGTTACCAGAAAAGTGACCTCTTGTGGTTAAACGTTGCGGCAGAGAAAATGAAACAAATGTGACTTTTGGACCTGAAATCACATGGTGAGGCCTTTAATGCCGCTGCTCCGTCATCCCTGCAGGTGATCGAGTTTGACGACGGCTCCGGCTCAGTGCTGCGGATCCAGCCTTTGAGGACTCACCGGGATGAAGCCATCTATGAATGTACAGCCACCAACAGTGTAGGGGAGATCAACACCAGTGCCAAGCTCACCGTCCTGGAAGGTGAGTCCTAACCGGCTCAACCCGGTCTTACTGACTGTTTGTACATGTCTGGGTCTGCACGGACTTCGAGCCAAAGCAGAATCCGTGCCAAGGCATCCGTGCGTGAAAACCCACTCCGACAACAGAAGAGTTCTGGGATCATGAGCTGCCAGTTTTTAACCCTAAAAACTGGAACAGTGTGTTTAGAGTAAAACAGTTCTGCAGCGGTCGGTCAGTTAACAATTCATGAGTTGAATAAGTGATGCTGCTGAGTTTAACTGGGAACAGTTCAGAGAACAGTTTTAGTCACAGGAACATGACAAAAAAACTGGGTTACACTTATATTCACGGAATTCATGAACAAGACAGGGATCGGTTCCAGGCTGTAAGAAAGGAATAAATACTCTGGTGAAACAGTAAACAGACCAGTACTAGTTACTGTACTATAATCCTTAATTTCCCAAGGGAACTCTCAAGGGATTCATTCAAGTTCTAAAGATCTGATCTAATCTAATCAGTTGGAGGGACATTATTTTACCAGAGATCAGTATCTGATAAAGTGCCACACAGTGGACACGTGGTTGAGGATTTTGTCCTACAGCAGTGAAACTAAATGTTGCGCCCCCTATCCTGGGTTTCTGAAACTGTTGTTGTCAAGCCACTTACATCAAAACCTTCACAGCCGCTGGTACAAACTTTATGTAAAACACTGTAATTCTTGCAAAACTGCAAAAGAGATCCCTGGTTCAATCCCTCGTTGGAACTCATGGATCTTCGTCTAAAGTCACGGAGGATCAGGTTAACAGACTGTTCAGGGTGTGACCCCGCCCAGACCTGATGAGCTGCAGTTGGCTGCAAGATGAGTGGAGGTATGGTTAGTCTCCAAAGTCTTGTTTCTTGTGTGTAAAAACTTTTTTTTCGTTTAATTAGTTAGAACTTTTCTGCTCAGAGAGAAACAGGAGGCAGTGTTTGTTTGCTTTTAAACTCCTGAATTTACATTTGGACACAGCTGCGATGAGAGTTCTGGAAACATCTGTTGTTCACACAGTGAGTGTGTGGAGCTGCTGCTGCCTCTTACACAGACTTTGATAATGGAGTTCCACTACGATGTGCAATGTAACAGCACGGTGTCGTCAGTTTCTAACGGTGTAGCAGTGTCTGTTTGGTTCATCTTTCAAAATAGAAGTTGTACTTGTGAACAGATTAAAGGAGATTTCTGAGGCTAAGGTTGAAACTTTAAGCCGGATGTTGTGTCTTTGTTCATCCTTTTGCTGTTAGTGTCATTTAAGTTTCAGCTTTTCTGTCGTTTTATGCCTCTGTTTTAGTCAATTGTGAAGCAGTTGTTTGGCTGCCCTCTGCTTCTGAGAAAGAGAGAGAGAGAGTGCTACAGTCTTAGTACTGTCAGTTGAAGCTGGTGCTGTATTTCTAGCTTGAGGTTCTTCAGTGAAACTGAAACTTTTACTTGCAGTTACACTGCACGTTATTTATGTGTAAATAACGTGCAGTGTTTCCCAACCTTTTTCTGGGGTCCACTCCACACTGCCAAGCAAAAACCCCCACATATAGTATATGTAATAAAATATAAAACTCTTTTAGTTCAAAGGTACTCGCAATTCACCAAAATCTCGGTCTGTTTAGTTGAAGACAACACTGTTACACTTGCAGGAATTGAAGAAAGACACAAAAATCTTCTACAGCTCTGATTCTCTTTTGTTTTTTAGATGAGTCGTACGTTGTCACCTTGCGGAGGGGTATTTAATTGTTCCACTTGTCGTGCATTAACAAACACAGAAAATTGATTTGCAATAAATAAAAAAAGGTTTTCCGGCCAACTAAGAAAATTTTAATAATTTAAGAAAAAAGATAAGGTAAGAAATCACTCTAGTGTTTGGCAGTACAGTGTGAGAACATAATTACACAATTCATTAATATGATAAATAATTTTGCCTAGTAGATTAAAATATTTAAAAGAAAAATTGATCAAGAAGTATTTTCTGCAGTTATTCTCAAATAATCCCAGTTGCAGCAGTGTTTCAAAGTCAAACCCCTTGTTTGATGTAGTACTGCGTCAGTTTTCACTCTCGCTCTCGGACGAAGTAGTTCCACAGCAGGATTAGGTTGAAAGTATTTTCGCCCGTATCTTCTCCCTCAGCATGGCGACAAAACCCATTTATTTAATCGACTCTCTAATTGAAAGGCACACGGCCACAGACCATAATCAGGCTTTTGCGCAGTCACTCCAGATCCCATTATACCTCTCCATGTAGATATTGTCAACAGTAAACAAAGCCGGAGGCTGCGCTGCTCGCTGCATAAAAAAACCAAAAAAAAAAAACCAGGAGCGAGCGTTTTCTCTGGAAACCACTCAGGATCTTGTTAAAGGAGAGTGATGGCTCTGACTAATAGGTGCTGATAAGAGGCTAATATATAATACAGCCGGCTGTAAACTGCACTGGTGCATATATTATCATGTCAGCCGCTGATGAGATGCAGATGTTCTGGATTCCACAGACACTGACTGCTGAAGTTAATGCTTCCATACGTCGACAGTTCACACTCATGCTCAGAAAGTATTTCCTGCGATGTTAAATTTGCGATGTTTCTTTATTATGCTGTCTACAGAACATTCCATTCTTGTTATAACAACCATGTTAAGGCTTCAAGAAGAAAAAAGAAGACCATAATTTTTACCATAATCGAAACCA